GTCTAGTTGCATTGGGTGGATGGAAACAAATTAGCAACAACTTGTTAGGCTTTCAAGGCCTCGAGCAAACAAATGGGTAGAAACTGTACAGGGGTTGCTGTCCCCCAGTGGTAGAGACTGTACAGGGGATGCTGTCCCCGAGTGGTAGAGACTGTACAGGGGATGCTGTCCCCGAGTGGTAGACACTGTACAGGGGATGCTGTCCCCGAGTGGTAGAGACTGTACAGGGGATGCTGTCCCCGAGTGGTAGACACTGTACAGGGGATGCTGTCCCCGAGTGGTAGAGACTGTACAGGGGATGTTGTCCCTGAATGATAGAAACTCTACAGGGAATGTTCTCCCTGAATGAGGATTCTAGAGCCTTGAACATGATCCAGGATGCACAGGAAGAGGTGTAACAGCCCATACTCTCTTGCCAGCCCTGGAAGCCCAGTCAGTGGTTGGAATGTAATGACTATTTCTCTGATCCTATACTACAACATAAATAGCATGGAATATCTAGCTTTAGAGCAGTTCAGAATTCTATTGTTTTTCCAGAATATTTGTTTGGTTTTTTTTCCTCTCCGGTCTCAGCAATTGAACACATCTAGTCTCAGAGCTGGAGAGCCACAGAGGGCTCCCAGCAATCTTCAGTTCCATCTCTGCATGTATCAACTGAAAATATAAACCAACAAAAGACTGTCATGCTGCCTTGAGCCTCAATTGAAAAAAATTTTTAAAAATATTTTACTGTATTTATTTTATGTGTATGTATGTGTTGCCTGCATGTAGATAAGTGCACCTGTGTCATGCAGTGCCCGCAGAGTACAGAAGAGGCTGTCAGATCCTCTCGAACTGGAGTTACGGACAGTTGTTAGCTGCTGTGTGGGTGCTGGGATTTGAACCCAGGTCTTCTTCAAGAACAGCCAGTGTTCTTAACCTCTGAGCCATCTCCAGCCCCCTGAAAAAAATTTTAAACAAGTTTCGCAGATATTTACCGGTCAAGTTTATGATACCTCATAAAATATGTTCATTTATATATATTTTTGGGTCTGCCTCTGTACTTCCTTGTATAGAATTCACCCCTCCTCTGGTCACAGTCTGGTTCCTTTGCACAGCAATAAGTACATCTGCCTACTAAAGTCTAAGAGCTTAACTTTCCTTCTCAGGTATGTGTTAGAATTATAAGCAAAATGACAGATATGATCTAATTTACAAGTGGATCTGTTAAACAATGTTAAAAGCAAGTTTACTGAAAGACATTGGCATATATAGTTGCATATGCATATATTGGCTGTTTGAGCCATTATAGTATGGGTGGGTGGATACTCAGACTTGCTGTTTTTGTCAGCATTAGAGAAGCATCCTGCTATCCCAGCTCAGCAAAGTCTGGTGTAGAAGCCCAGCTTCCACTGAGAAACAGAATAGTGTGGAAGGGGATGCCAGTGCTGCCCTGCTAGGAAGCTAAATTGCCACTTGGACATTGAGTCTAGAATAAAAAGAAAAGTTTTGTTGGCCAGATTAAAAAGTCATTGATACCAGGTTGCCCAACCTTTGCATGTGTGACTGTCAGCCATGACAGCAGCAGGGAGGGAGCTACCTGTGTTCCAGGGTATGTACACACCATAGGTCAGGCGACAGGTGCTCTATTAGAAACAAGAGGCAGCGCACATTAGGTCTGGTTTCCTCCAAGGCCTTTCATGTCATCAGTGAACTCATCTTCTTACTCACTGCATGTGGCTCTCTGATTTTACTAATAGGAATCTGGGGAAATCCAAGGAGATTCTTCCAAAGTACTGTCAGGGAAGAAAAAGAGCAGACTTGTGTTCAAGTTGCTGTTGGAGAGACCCTGTACGTGGGTGTTTTGAGCAGCTGTATTCATAACTGCCAAAATTTGCAAGTGACCAAGATATCCTTCAGTAGGTGAATGGATAAATAAACTGCAGTTCATCTTGTTAATGAAGTATTGCTCAGCGCTGAAAAGAAAGGTACTTTTAAAGACCAACAGGATTATGTCATTTACAAGAAAGTAGATGGAAAGAAAGATTGTTTTAAACAAAATAAACAGGATTTAGAAAGATAAATACCGTATGAGTCTCTCATTTGGAATCTAGATTTTTTTTAAAAAGGACATGAAAGTAGAAGTGGGACTATTTGGGAAGAAGGGAGCAGTGGGCGGGAGGGCGTGGGACCAGAGTGTGGGGGGGGGCGAGAGTCACCACAGCCCACTGCATACATGTGTGACAGTGTCATGATGAAACCCACGGTTTATAATGAATGTGCACTAGATGGAGGGGAGGAAGGGGGGCCTTTTAATCAATGAAATGTCTTGGAGGGAACAAATTCATATCAATAACTAAAAGAAGCCAAACAAAGGCCATGTACTTTATGATGTATGGAGACAGTACAAAGGTTAGTCACTTCCCAGAGCTTGATGGGAGGTCAAAGGAGGGGAGAATTGTTCAAGGCCCAGGGCAGGGAAACTTGTCTGCATGACACTACCATGATGGGTTCCTGTCATTATACATGTGTCCAAACTTGCAGAATGTGCACATTGTGGACCTAAAGGCGGTAATAATGAGGGGTCAGTAGAAGCTTACCAGTTGTTAAAAAAGTAAAAAGTACTACTCTCGTACAGGATATTGAAAATGGCAAGAATCCACATGTGGGGGGGGCAGTAGAGATATCGGAAATCTCTACTATACCTTGATTTTGCTGTGGATATGAAGTTGCTCTTAAAAAGTCTTTTTAAAAAGATTCCAGAATTTCAAACTTTGAAATTATTTAGTATTTAGTATTCTATATTTTCCACTCCTGATGTGTGCCTGTTTATATGTTTGTATGATGTACATGTGTGCACGCCTGTATCGTGTGTGCTGCATACAAGTTCAATCATGTTCTGGGCAGCAAAGCACAAGGAAAGGATGGGGAATGTGTTTGAGGTCACACAGCTGCCAGCAGCAGAGTCCCACCCCTTCCCTCTACATTGACCATCTGACACCTGTCTCCAGGATTCCTGTTGAGCCCTCACTGAATCCCCTTTACAGAACACTTTTTATTCACACAGCAGAATTGGATGGCTTGTGTCCTGGGGGCAGTGAGTGAATAGCTTGCTATTCTGTATTCCTTGCTGAATCCTGTCCCAGCCACCTTGTTTGTAAACAGGGATGTCTGTCTCTCAGTGCATCTCTCTCAAGGGACACATTTGACTTCAGGGTAAAGTCTCCCAGCTTATCTCCAAATCTTGGAGACCCCTCCCTTCTGTTGTTACTTCTCACTCATTTGTGTAAATGGCCTTGAGCCCTGAGCTCTTGCCAGGATGAAGTGGGCAGCTCTTGAATCCTTCTGAGAAGCTCCACAGTTGTGACCTCAGTCTTCTGTGGGAGAGGCTCAGAAAGAGGGAGCCTGCATCAGCCCTTCACAAAATGGAGTGAAGAGAAGCCTGGGAGTGCCCCCTTCCTTGCCTTTCTCTGGGATGAGTGGCTGCCCCAGCACTCTCCTCAAGCTTTCACGTATTCATGGATATGAGTTTGTCTTTCTGGGCATGATTCCCTGACGTGGAATTGGGGTGCTAAGGATATTCTTGTTCTTCTCAATTCTAGAATCTTAGAAACATAATAGGTTCTACTCTTTGTTGAAAACAAACAAACAAACAAAAAACTGAACTAAACTAAACCAAACAGCAAAAAGGATGGCAGGCTTCACTGTTTTTAATTCCTATTGCTCAGTACAGTGCCACAGGATGTGTCAGACTTGGTGAAGTGGCTGGGCAGTGTCTGTGCTAGTCTTTCAGCATATACTACAGAGAAGTTTATGTGTGCACATTTGGTGGAACTGGCTTCTACTGAGGTCCAGTCCTGACAGGGCGATGTGGCTAGGGGCCCACCACAATCCTTTTGCTTTCCTCATTCACCAGAGCTTGCACTCTCAGTTTTCCTGTCTATTAGCTTGTCTATGTCCTGTCCTCTGCAAGTGAGGCAGCAGTGGGCATCACTTAGCTCCCCAGATCATCCGCAGGCGGTTCAGATTGTTAGTTTAGGAGCACAGGGGCACAGGCTCCACAGACTGGCCTTTCTTGACGTGGTTATCGTGGGGGGAAGGGGGGGGGGGTCAGGGTTGGCTGGACATCTGTGTGTGGTGGGGGTGCAATGGCAGAAAGGCTTATGAGAGCAGGCCAGATAGGGAAGATAGAAAGGTACGTTGTAGAATTTGCACTTAAAAGCAGACATTCTGCCTTCATGTTGCAGCCCAGACCAGAGCTTGAGCAAACCTGTCTTTGCCAGATTTCTAAGCCCAGGGCTGCGTAGTTGCTGCTTGCTCACTAAACATAGTTAATAAGGATGTAAGGATCCATGTGAAAAACAGGCTGGAACAGAAAGGCGATTCTAAGTGCTGCTTCCTGGAGAAGAGAAATTGCCTTCGAAACAGTAGAAAATGGTTTTCCTAACCACCTCAAGACCCCCGGAAGTGTGCACATGGGCAGACACTGGCTTCACGTTTCTTATGGATTTGCCATTTGTCATCTCTCTTATTTATGGGCAGCTCTGCCTTGGGCGCGTCTCGATGTTCAGACCAGATAAATTTTGTCTTGTTTTATAATGACTTTAAGCTCAGTTGCCTGTTATTTCTGGAGTTTTTTCTTGGGAGGGTGGGAAGCCAACGGCTGACATTTTTTCCCCCGTTTGTGGTAAAAACTTGTGACCCTCCTGCCTCAGCCTCCTGAGTGTTAGGATTACAGACACCTGCTGTCACACCTGGCTAAGGCTGACTTTTATTTACCTGTCTTCATAGTGTTATGAAATATCTCAAAAATCGTTTTCTTTTGCTAAAGTAATTCCACAGTGCTGTTCCACTTGCCTGATTTTGAAGTAAGGAGTGCTAAAAATTAAGTTATGTCTGATACTTTTCCCCCCAAGGTACCTTGACTTCATTTAAAATCTTATGTTCCCTCACAGGCACACTTCGTATCTGTGGACTCTTGTCTCATGTGTATATTTTGTATCACTTTTCTCTGTTCCCAGGCCTTCTGCCTTATCTAGTAGTCCGACGTATCCAGACCTGCCCTTCATTAGGATCTCTCCACACCGGAACCCCACTGCAGCTTCGGAGTCCCCCTTCAGCCCCCCACACCCGTACATCAATCCATACATGGACTATATCCGCTCCCTGCACAGCAGCCCATCCCTTTCCATGATCTCAGCTGCCCGGGGGCTGAGCCCCACAGATGGTGAGTCTCAAGCAGTTCTGCTGCTTCAGATCTGTGTTACTCTTGTGACAATGTGCAAAGCTAGTGTTTGCTCAGGGTTTCCCATGTGGCAGACAACCCTGTTGTTGAGGGTGGTAGTGTTCATACTTTCATGTAAGGATAACAGTGTAAAGAGGAAGTAAGTAACTTGCGACTCAAAGCCAGATCTCACTGACTCCCTAGTCCTTGCTCTTAAACACCCTTTTCTTCCACGCTCCACACATGATTAGATGAGCCCTGCCAGCATCTCATGGATGTGTGTGTGTGTGTGTGTGTGTGTGTGTGTGTGTGTACATGCTCTGAGTGCTTTTCTGGTGAATTCTGTTCTGTATGTTGGAGAGACATGTTTATACAGATGTATCTATGAGAGTAATACTTGACAAAGTCCACTGTGCACCTGCATCCCCTAGGACTGCTAATAAACTTCATAATGCATCCAACAGGGCCCGAGCCTTTGATCTTGTACAAACTTCCAGGTGATTTTAATGTTGTTGGTCTGTAATGGGCCACACACTTAAGAAGCAAGAGTCTAGGGCCAAAAAGACCTGTTACTTGTGAGTTCGGTCCTTGACCATGACAAATAGAACACTGGGCAAAGAGAGAGACTTAGACTTTATTCCTATAATGCTTGTAGTGCTCATTTAGGCTATAGTGTTTGTTTCTTTTGCTTGTAATCAGTCTCACATGACTTTTTAAAATTGGAGCTGTATTCATATGTTCCTTTCAAGTTATAACCTATTCCTTCCACTCAGGAAAGAATAGTTAGCATTTCTTGCAAATATATACAAATCCACTTGTCCACAACCTCTAGAGTCTCCGTTGAGATCCAGAATTCCATAAGCGAGAGATGTGTGCTCTTCACTACAGCGTGAAGGGAAACATCATACAGTTCATTCCACTAAACTGTTTGCCATGAGTTCTGTGTCCCAAGTTACTCTGCATGTAAACTGCTTCCTGAGACTGGCTGTGCACAGTGGCAAGCTCTAAGAAGTTTTTTAGGAAGCATCCACTCTGGTGTAGTTCCAGGAGTATCTGTCTTCTAGAAACAGTTACTGGCCCATGTGTCTTTTCTTTCTGAGATTTCAGTGCAAAGCATATTCTTGTAAGCCATTTGAGCAAGATTCACGTTTTAAAAACGAGATCTGCAAGAACATAAGGTATGATTTACTTCTGCTTTGGATTTGATTTTGTGATAGGGGAAGTGGAGAGTCATCTCCTTGGAGTGCTTGGGAGTTGGTGGAAATAACCACCCAGGAGAACAGACAGCAGGGCATGGTGGGAAAGCTCAAAGTGGAATTGGAATTGTGCCTGGCTTGAGGAAACTGAGTCAGGCAAGGGGATGATGGTGCTTGTGGTTACTTCATGAAAAGCATGATAGCTACCTGTGTTTGATGATTATGAATAAAACATTCTTTGATTGGTTGATCTGCTACCTTTTCCCACATCTCAACACCAATTAATAAAATACCCAATCCAGTAATTCCACTAATAGTTCCCTTCTGTGGTCTAGTTTTAAATTTTTTTCTGTCTTTACCATAGAGCATGCATTACAGAGTATTATATATGAACTCAAATCTAAAACACCTCTTGCCAGGATCTTTCTGTTTCTAACTAGTGGTTGTAAAACCTCTATGATCAAACGGTGTGCTCTAAGCACTTTACACAAGATTTTCCTCTTGGCTGCTGACGCCTTATGGATCTTCTTTGAATCCGCATCTCTAGCTCTAGAGGCCACCCTCAGAACTGTTACAATATCTTGCTGCTTTTGCACATAAATTGGCAGGTGGAAACCAATTATTATCCCACTCATGTAAGGCTGACTCTTGCCAGTAAATTGCTCCAGATTGATAGGTACATTTTCTTTTTGATTTTGTAATGAAAAAAAGAAAGAAGGGAAAAGAGAGCTTTTAAATTCTGGAACATGAAATTGCAGCTTATCATTCAGTTGTGTGTCATTAGTGCTGTGCTGCCTTTTTTCCTTTCTGGTAAACTCTGACTCCTCATGTTAGTGAGCGTTCACTCAGACACTCCTGTCAGGAGCACACAGAAGTATTTTAAGTATGTCTGGAAAGACATCACAGTTGTCTGAGTTGTCTGAGTTGACTGTTGTGAGAAATATGAACATACAGTGATTTGCTCTAAGAAAGTGTTTTGTTTTGGTGGGGGGTAGGGGTGGAGGTAGGGAGTTGTCAAACATGGCCATGAGCCTGGAACATGGAGACAAACCTGTGGACAGTGGACTCCCCATAGACTACACTGACATTGTTGCATCCTAGTATGTATGTGTCTGCTCTGTGACCTCACAATGACAGAACTGCTTGAGTACCTCTCAGAATGTGACCTGTCTTCAGGGATGCATGACTATATATTTTAATAGTTTTCAGTCATGTTAATTTCTTTAGACAAAGAGCAAAACTTTTGTAATGTGTTCTACTCTTTGTACTCTTCCAGTTTTCAAATAAAAGCTATCTAGTTAACAGTGAAAACATTTAAAGCAACTTTCTTGCAGTGAGCCATAAAAGGACTTGTATTTGAGGGATGCATTGCAAATGGACTCAGAATGCCTTAAAAAAGTGACTAATTGCCTTTTCCCCAATTGCCATTGTCCTCTGTTTCCTCTTACAGCTCCCCATGCTGGAGTCAGCCCTGCAGAGTACTATCATCAGATGGCCCTGCTCACAGGCCAGCGCAGCCCCTATGCAGACATCCTTCCCTCTGCTGCCACCGCTGGGGCTGGGGCCATCCACATGGAATATCTTCATGCTATGGATAGTAAGTGGCTGGTTGCTGGGGTAATGGTAGGGAGGGGTAACGAGCTAACTAAGAAATGGGAGAAGGTGCCAAAGGTTAAGTGATGGGCTGAATGTTCAGTCTAAAGAAAGCTTCTATAGATAGGGCCTGCCTGAGTTGCTCTGTTGGCTCCTGGTAAACTGAGGTTTGCATGAAGTTGTAGTTTGTTAGCTATAATAGAAATATTACTGATCAACAAATTATCCTGTTGTGCTGCTTGTGATATGAAACTAAGGAACAGATTTATCGCATGAATGGACTTTCATGATCACACCATGGTTTCATTGATTTTTCATCCTTTAGAAATTAAGTGTAAAAAATTAAGAAAGTTTTTATAAGAAATGATTTCTTTCCCTTTGTTTATGTTAAAGGAATCTTAATTTCATGGCCATTCCCAAAGGCAAACACCTTTAATACCAGCACTTGGGAGGCAGAGACAGGCAGATCTCTGGGGGATTAAGGCCAGCTGGGGCTACAGGGAGACCCTGTCTAGAAAGTGAAAAATAAAACACAACCAAAAAAGCCCACTTTATTTCATGAAGACCTTTTTTTTCTTTTGGTAGGAATATGGAAGGGTGAGAATAATTACATGTAGGACAAAAAAATTCCCCAAACATTTCCAAGTTTTAGTACATAGCAGTGGAAGAAAACAAGATCGTAGTGCCTGTGTCACTTTTAGGGGTGTTGCCTTTGGTCACAAATGGGCCCTTGATAATTGCTTCTTAGGGTACACCAGAACTCTCATCTCAAAAAAGGATCTGTTCTGTACATATCCTTCTGCAAGGTCTTGTAAAGTGAAGCTCAAGCTTCATCTATACCACAAGTCAATACAAAACAACCCCTGTGAACAGCACGTAGGCCTTCTAATGGGGCACAAGTCACAGTTCCAGTCACTTTTCCTAGCAGCAAGATTAACCTGTGTGTTTCCAACTAGAATCTCTTTAAAGTCTTTGTCAAAGGTGTGCAATTGTTAATCCAGTTCTCAGATTGGGAAAGAAGGAAGGTATTAGCTCCACACAGGAATGGAAATTGACAGCCTGAGATTACGAACCACCCAGGACCACCTTGGTGTGCTCCATAGGAGCATGGGCTTATTTTGGCTTCTATTGGCCAGCTCATTACTGCACACAATGTGAAAGAAATGTGCTACACCCTCAGCAGTGGGGTTTGTCATTAGACTCAGTAGCGTAGACGGTTTAAGTTTCAGATTCATCATAACCACATTTCAATTAGCAATTGTTGGGGAAAATAGATCATGGTTATTATGCAAATTAGTTATTTAAAATCTGCAAATAAAGAATTAAAATAAGAGAGACTCCCTGGAAGGTCAGCCTACATTACTTTCCCTATTTGATAAGAATGTGTTTAGTCAGGCAGTGGCAGTTGTTATCTAAATAAAGGATGAAGCTACCCTTTTACTTTGTAAAAACTAATTAAAGGAATTTTAATTTGCCAGAGTATATGGTAAATTGATTGTCATTAAATAGGAATTTAGATGTCCTATCATTCATCACATAAAAAGAAACCTCCTTTTTCTTTGTCAGAAATTTTTATTAGAGAAACGAAAACAATTAGCACAAAGCCAGATTGGAACTATCTGCCTTGGAACAAGAAGAAAGCTCTGGCTGGAGCTGTGGTAGAGTGCTTGCCTTGAGTATGTGAGGGTCTGGGTTCAGTCCCTAGCTCTGTAAAATAATAATAATAATAATAAATAATTAGATTCTGTTTTCTGTGGCAGAAAGAAGCACATTCACGAGGGATGACTTCTGACTTGGAAGTTAGAATATTTAGATATAACACATTAGACTAAACAGGCATATTTATAACTCTATACCTTTTGAGATTAGAGGGACCTTGAATAGGTAATCACTGTAAGAAACATACTAGATGTGAGATGAAGGTAAGGACTTGAAATTCATGCTATCTGTGGGTAGAAAGTGACTTAAAGGAATGCTAGTTTTGAGAGACAAACAAGGATGACATTTTCTAGTCCAACTTTGGGGAACTAAAGAGTTTGTGAGAAGGATGAAAAGGTTTTACTAGGCCCCTGGACCTTGTCTTTGCATGATGTGTGGTAGATGTAAGACTTCCAATGTTGCATGGTACCAGGTCACCTTTTCTCTTGCATTATTGTCAGTAACTGATTTTAAGAATCAGAGATTGGGGCCTGGCAAGGCTGCTCAGGCCCTACCACCCACACCAAAAGCAGAGATTGTTGCAGGGATGAACTCTGTCTTCTAACTCTTGAGACCTATTGAGAAGGGTATCGTCAAAGTTACATAAAAATTGGCAATAAATCTGACTGGCATTTGAATTGTCTGGAATCAGCAGGTAAGTGTGTCTCTATTAAAACCATTATCATGAAATTATAGTCTTATAGTGAGTAAATGTGAGATAGGCTCAAGGTAGAGGCCATAATAAAATTGTGATGCTGATTTAGACACTAAAAGGTATATACACAGCTGGGATTGCTATTCTGTGCTAAGATGCCCTAAATCAGGTTGGTAATGAAGTTGTTCTAAATGAATGAACTCACTTTAAATGCACCAAAATGAAAAATTTCAGAAGTTACCATGTTTATCATTCAGATTGGTTTTATGTAGGGATGGTACTGACTGGTTAACTTCCGCTTTGCATGTGGTTGTAATATCAACTACAAAGCCTTTCATAATCATCTATTCTGTTTCTTTAAATTATTACAAAGCATATTGGATTGTTATCTTGTGTCAAGGTCTATCTCCAGGGCCTGACATGTTGGCGTAGACCTTTAATCCCAGCATTTGGGAGGCTGAGGCAGGCTGGAGGATTATGAATTTATTCAAGACCAAAGAGACCCTATCAAATCTATACCTCTGTTGAAGAAAATATATATTCCCAATTCAATTTCTAGAGATCAAATGACTGGTTCTTTTTTCTCTGAAGATTTATCTACTACCATAATTTTCTGAGTAAGGCAAAATGTCCATATCCCTGTAAGCAGGTATGCCCATGCTGTGAAACTCAAGGTCCTTTGTACCTAAAAATTATGTTTGATTTAATTCTCTTTTTGAAATATATTTTTATGTGTATGAGTGTATTGCCTGCACATATATAAGTGCAGCCATGTCCTGCAGTGCCCACAGAGGTCAGAAAAGGGCATAGTATCCCCTGGAACTGGAGTTGCAGATAGTTGTTAGCCACCATCTGAATGCTGAAGACCAAACCTAGGTCCTCTGCAAGAGCAGCCAGTGCTCTTAACCACTGAGCCATCTCTCCAGCTGCCAGTGTTTGATTTAATTCTTACCTGGTGGGATTATGTGCTCATTGTCTCATTAAACTTAAGTTTTCTGACTCTGTCATGTAGCTTGATCTTCCAAAGATCAGAATTGCCCAGTGGGCTACATTCTTACTATGTCCTAAGACCCAGATTTTGATTTCTACCAAATTTGAATGCAAATAAAGTTTAATTTTAACTCCTTAGTTAAAAAACATTGTATTAAATTGGCATGTGTTTAAATTGTTACTAACCTCCAGGATTAGAAGACCATCAATGAATTTTCTTGTTTAAAAACTTAATTTTGAATGGAGAAGTATGCTCCATTACAATGTCAGGCACATCGAGACCCTTTACTGTACTTTCGGGGTTTATACCTCACACCTTAGAAGATTTAGAAATCAGTAATATCCTAAAAATTGCAAATGTTTGTTGGAATTTATACACTTGCACGAGGAGGCTTTTGACCAGGAGCCCTTTTTGCTACCAACGAGCCCAAGGCTCGGTATGGTAGGTCTGCTGTTTATACACACAAGGTTTGACAGCAGTCCCAGCCTCCTCCCATTAGATGCTCATAGCATACCCTGAACTGTGACAGCCAGAGGTTGGCATGTCTCCTAGGGTACAAAATCACCTGCAGTTGAGTACCTCTGATTGAAGGTAATAATACTTATAAGTTGTTTTATTGATACTGTAAGTATATCAAGGAGCACATAACTACTGGAGTCATGGGAAAAGGCAGGCATAACCTTTATTTTAGGATGCTTTAATTCTTTTTTTTCCTTTGGCTGATTGCCTTATAGTGGCGCATGCTGAAGTGGGGAGGGTATTGTTTTGCAACTGTGGGAACCTCTGTCTTTGTCGCTTGTGGCGAATTAATGATGGGAATATCTAAGCAGCCGTCAGATTCATAAATCACTAGAAATGAGAAGGATAACACATAGAAGTCTCTGCCTTTTGTTTAGCAATTTATCATTTTGCCTGCACATTAATAAACAGAGCTCCTCTGAGGTAAACCCCTGGAAGATAAATATTTCTCCCTAACTTCCTCAGCTGCAGCCAGCAGATCAGAAGGGACGAGAGGCACTTGTCACCACTAGTTGCCAGGTTCTTATCCCTCTCTTTTTGCCCAGATGTGTGGCAGTCAATATCATGTATAGATTCTGGCTATAGGTAATCAGGTTCTGTTTTGTTTCTGTAACAGGCACCAGGTTTCCCAGCCCTAGGCTGTCAGCCAGGCCCAGCCGAAAACGTACACTGTCCATATCACCACTGTCAGATCATAGCTTTGACCTTCAGACAATGATAAGGACGTCTCCCAACTCCTTGGTCACAATTCTCAATAATTCCCGTAGCAGCTCTTCAGCAAGTGGCTCCTATGGTCACTTATCTGCAAGCGCAATCAGGTATGTATTTTCCTGAATCCATTATGTGTTTTTAGAATAAAATGACAGTGCTCAAATGCACTAGTAATGCATCTGAAAGAGCCAGCAGACTACTGTGCCTATACTAGGATACAGTTACATACCGCAACAATCAATCACAGATAGTTATTGGGCCAAAATTAATTTCTTGGCATGCATTAGTCAGAAGCTCTTATATGGCAGTTATTCAGTTATGATTAAATCTCTGTCCTAGTTTGTTTCTTCATTGCTGTGACAAAATACTCTGACCAATACCAACTTGGGGAGGAAAGGGTTTATTTTAACTTACATCCGCTGGGTCACAGTTCATCAGGGAGCCCAAGGTAGGAACTCAGGGCAGGAACCTGGAGGCAGAAGCTAGAGCACAGGCTATGGAGGAATGCTGCTTACTGGCTTGCTCCCCTGGCCCCTGCTCAGCCTGCTTTCTTACACAACACAGGCCCACCTGCCCAGGGGTGGCACCACCCACAGTGGGCTGGGCCCTCCCATATCACTCAACAATCAAGAGGATGCCCCACAGACATGGCCACAGGCCAGTCCTATGGAAGCAATTCCCCAATTGAGGCTCCCTCAACCCAGGTGTGTCAAGTTGACACTAAAGCCAGCCAGCACAATCTCCTTCTTAGTGACAGAGTATGGAAAATTTTTTCATCCAGGTCTTTGGTTGGAATTAGTTCTCTAGAGCAAAAACCAATTCTGTGTCTGGTTGTGCAGCTTGAATATGAAAGAGAAACAAAATAAATAAGTCATTGAGGGCTGGAGAGATAGCTCAGCAGTTAAGAACACTGGCTGTTCTTGCAGAAGACCTGGGTTCAAATCCCAGCACCCACATGGCAGCTAACAACTGTCTGTAACTCCAGTTCCAGGGGATCCGACCGCCTCTTCTGTGCTCACAGGCATTGCACAACTCGGGTGCACTTACCTACATGCAGGCAATGTACACATACACATAAAAATAATAAATGAGGGCTGGAGAGATGGCTCAGCAGTTAAGAGCACTGACTGCTCTTACAGAGGACCCGGGTTCGATTCCCAACACCCACATGGCAGCTAACAACCATCTATAACTCCAGTTCCAGAGGAATCTGACACCCCCTTCTGACCTCTGCAGGCATTGCATGACATGGGTACACTTACATTTATGCAGGCAATACACTCACATGCAT